GGCTGTACAGTCATTATATGGCAAGTTACATGTCTTGTAACTCTCTAGCTAAAAGCATTGGCAAGCCACAGCTCACAAACTCTCCAGGTCTTTTGGCACTGTGTACTTTTAGTGGGTTCTAGTCTTTGTTTCTTGTGTAAACATATTGTAATCAGGTGCTCTGAAGGTCATAACATCATAAATAACAAGGGCATCACTTAGGAGGCTACAGCTCCTGCATTTCTACAGGCTGATACAGTGGGAGCTGTAAGCCTTGTGATTGGGAAAATTCCTTACTCCCCTTTCATGCCAAGATTACACAACACAACAGAAACCAACTTACAGCTCATGCAGCTTCTGGCAGAAGCTCCAGCCATCGGGGTTGATGCGGGATATGGAGTTGTTACTGAGGTGAAGCTGGTGCAGAGAGGAGAGGCCATAGAGAGAACCGCTGTTTACTTCTGTCAGGCTGTTATACTCCAGGTGGCTGTGGAGAAAAATCAGAAGGAATTGACAGATAAGCAGCACTGGCCAAACGCTGGAGAACTTCTGCCAAGAACTGGAATTTTAGCCATTCCTACACTGCTTTCTACACACCTATGTGGATACATGCATGTGTGGGCATTTCTTGTCAAATGAAAGATAGAAGGAAATTCAAGGACAACGCAAAGGAAATGCCCAGAAGGAGCTGTGACTGCAGACATAAGCTCCACTGCAAGTAAACTGGGTTCAAGGCATCCCAATCAAGTTTATATTTGCAGAGTGTCAGTTGTGTGACAGCAGCATCCAGAAACATGCTGCCTTGTGACCTTGCAAACACACCTGAAAGCCAAGCATGTTGGAAGCTTCAGGCATTTCTCTGCAATGACTAATCAATTTGTTCCCCGGTATGGAAAGAAAGCATCACCAAGATAGGGCAGTTTGGTTTCTAGGTATGCCATGAGGTGGAATAATCATGTCTGCAACACAAGAGTTCCCACGTGTCAGCGAAAACAAATTTGCAGAAACCAGACAAGCTTTTATTCAAAGACCAATTGAGATCGTACAGAATGTTCAAACTGTCAAACTTTCAAAGGAAAACTCACAAGCAACAGGATTTTTTTGACTGAACACCTGGTAAAGCAATGAGCTTTATTAAACAGTGGGTCAACTAAACAGAAACTGCTGCAGCATGGCAAAGCTCTGGGCATGCAGGACACAGGAGGAAGCACGAGGACTGGCACGGGTGCTCACAGGTCTCTGGGGAGTCCTCACTAAAATGCGGAGAAGGACATGAAAGCAGGTAAATTCCTGTCTGTTTAAGGGAAAAGAACCCCTCTCTCAAACTTACAGAACTTGCATCTTGGCTAGACCCCAGAAAGCTCCATCAGTCAATTTGCTTATGTTGTTGCGCTGGAGCTTCAGGACTTCCAAGCTGTCCAGTCCCTGGAACGTCAGGCCTTCAATCAGGCGGATGCGATTCCGGTTCAGCTCCCTAAAATCACCAAGGCCATACAAGTTTATTAAACCCCAGTCCTTTCTCACGAAGTCATCTGTGCAGCACACAATGGGGACAGCAATGCCAACAACTCCTCTGTCAACCGTTCCCGGGAGACAGCAGAAACGCACCGGAAACTTTCAATCCCAGATCTATCCAGGGAAGTCAGCTGGGTGTGATTGCTTAAATAAACTCACCCTGGGATAGACTTCCACTATAGAGGAATAACAGACTGCAGCAATTCCTCTTCATCCCTCCTTTCTCTGCATTTCTTTTAAGCCATTGATCCTTTTCATCAATTTTCACACTTCATCTTGTCTCAAGTGCAGACACCATTTGAACCAGTACAGCCAAACATCAGCATTATTCCCCTTACAACCCATTGTTTTTACAGGACTCGTAATTGCCCAGTAAAAATGTGCTCTGAAAAATGCAGGTGAGGTGCCCAAAGAGCTGTGGGCTCAAGAGGAAACTTTATGGCCAAGTTTGAAAGGAAAGCTTTCAGTTTCCCTGACAAATTTCACTTTTCTTTTTCTACTATAAGAAACTAATAAAGAGTGAAACAAGTTGTTTCCAATAACAAGGCAATGTTAGTATTTCGTGTATAGAGATCTGCAACTTGGTTCATTAAATTTCTTTTTCTTTTCCCTGGGTGGGGAAGAATTCCTAAATTTTGGGACTACCTTTTTTTTCTGAATAGCAATATGAACACAATCACAGCACACTTTACCAGTCTATATCAAACAGTCTTACAGATTGCTTGACTCAGACATACCAGGTGAAAAGTCAATTACATAAAGTCAGTGGAAAACCTCAACCCAATGCACTAAAGCTGAAGTGAGAGCTTTTACAATGGATACTTTCCCACACATACAAGACTAATCTAAGGGTAGTTCCCCAGTCAGTGTCTGTGTTGAGGAAAATGGTGGAGGTTACAACATCAGAACTTGTTTTGGAAAAGATGAGGAAGCCATAGAAACTTTTAGCTTACTTTTCAACTGTCTAAAAAAACCAATGTTCAACTTGCACTCAAGTTGAGTGTAATTAAAGTCAACTAAGCAATTAAGATTTTGCAGACTTAAAGTCCCTTGTTGTACTGCACTTCCTGGGCTATTAGTGAAATAGGCTTTGCCAGAAAAAGTACACAAATTCTACAACACATCAATCTGTATAACTTGCAATTCATTCATGTTTATCCACAGGGTTAAACAACCAGCTGTGAGGCTGTCATTAAGAGTACCAATTACTCCGACTTTCAGTGCAAACTGTGTTCCTAAACAGAGTGAATTGTTTCTATTACAGTTTTGCACATAATGCAGTCAAACAGAGGGGATTACAAGCTCTCACTCAATGGACAGTAACTTCCAAAGGAGAGCCAACAGACTTTTAAGGTGCATCTGCTGTTATGTCACCCTGTTCAACCCCAAACTTGCTGTAAATCCTGCATGCATGCAAGCACAAATGCACACACATTCCTTGGGCACACCACGGCTTAAGGATCTTTCCCTGTCATTTAGAGGTGTGAGTTCCAACAGCTTGTGTGGATTTTATGTTAACAGACAGAGGCTGACCTTTTGCCTATCAAATTTGATGGAAAGACTGCAACAAGCCTCAGGCTGGGCACATTTCTCCAACAGCAGCAGAAGGAAAAAGCTAAACAATTAGTGCTACTTTTTTACACACAGAGCACGTTTATAGCTGCAGATGTCTGTGTGTCCCCACGCAAACAGGACAACGACGTGTGTGTTAACTCACCTCGAGTGCTATTTTCTCTGCCCAAATATCACTGCACAGTTTAACAGCCTTTCCTGATTGCATTTTTATTGCCACATAAAGATACCTGTGTGGTCTTGAAAAACTAACATGGTATCTGAGCTCTGTCACTCGCAATGGAAACGTCTTCCAAACCTCTCTTGCACCACAGACAGTAGCAGCTTGCAAGGGAATGGATTTGTCTTGCTCTGCCAAGTGCACAAGATGCTGATGTCTGCTGCAGCATCCCTCCCTTCCCAGTTGATCCAAAAAGTGGTCTGAAAAGCCAACAGTTACAAGACAAAACGGACTTTCTCCCAACATATTTTACTAGGTGCTGGCAGGGGACTGTTGCATAGTGTATTCTACATTTTACAGATAGTAGATGAGGAAGGGTGACATTTGGTGGGTATATCCTCAGGGACATTTTGTCTCCATAAAGTGAGGCTGAGCTTAATTAAAGTGGACATTTCTACTCACAGTTGTATTAGCCTGGGTAGCCTGAACGCCTTGACAGGAAGCTGAGTGATCCTGTTTTTACTCAGACGAAGTGTTAGCAGGGACCGTGACAGACTATCAAAAGCACCAGGCTCCAGGGTGCTGATTCTGTTGCTCCCCAGGTAGCTGCAATAAATCACAGCAGAAAAATGAACAGTTCTGTCAGAAATCTCCTTTTATCAGCATTTAGTTGGTCTCGAGACAGGCTGGTGAAATTACAGCGATGGCTTCAAACCAGTTGGGTTTCTGGCTGCACAAAGAGCACAGAGCCTGTGATGAATGTGGAGAATCCCTGGGCACTTCCCAAGAGCTCCTTGATACCCTCCTACTTTAGAGCAAGGCGGTCAGGAGTGGAAGCCAAAAACTGGAGAATATTCCAGTGTAGGATGATTCTATTCATTCCCTATTTTCCCCTCAGTATGTGTCCCAGGGCTCTTTCTTACTTGGATCCCAGTCTTAGCCAGAGAGGCTGTTTTTACAGGACAACAGGCAAACATAAGTCACAACACCACTTTCTGATACCCTCTTACAACCAGCACCAGAAACTTTAACGTAAACTTTAATGCAGGTAGGTTATTTGCCTGCACTGCTTCAAAGGTACCAAAATACAGATTATTTTATGTTTCTCTGAATAGTCAAACATCTCTATAGGGAAGGTGTTACTCCCCTTAATCCCCAGCTTTCTTCTAATAACTAACAAGACATTTCTGTTCTTTTAGTAGCCACTTTAATGACAAAATAGTTGTTCTCCCTCCACTCTTCCAGATGCACATGGGCTGATCTGGGAAACAGCATACAGACTTCCCACAGGGGAAGAGACATGAACAGTTCTGCTGGCTTGTAGGTGGTTTGCAGATGTAAAGACATCCACATTTGAAGGATGTAGGATACCTTTTCTCTGCAACACTGTAATAATCTGCATTCTTTACAGATACATCAGAAGTCAAAAAGACAGCATTCAAAAATAACATGGCAGTAGGGACAGTGTGCTGACTTTTAATTCTCCTTTGCACTTAAAATCCTGACAAATAATCCCGTAGTTCTTATATTCATTACTTCTCCTTTTTTTTAAAGGTTTGAGGCCCTTTCCTCTGCTGGGGTAACTCAACAAAAGCTGTTCCCAACAAGAAAAACTCACAGCTCCTTTATGTGAAGTCCCTGTGGAAAGCAGCCGTTTCGGATTTCCGTGATGTCATTGAAACTCAGGTCCAACGTTTCCAGGGTAACGTAGGGCTGCAGTTGACTTGGTTCAATGCTGCGGATCCTGTTGTGATGCCTGAAAAAGTCAGGAGGAGAAACAGAAACTATTTAGTGCTCTTAGAAAAACAAAAAGAACACTCGAGGCTGCTGCAGGTCCCCAGGCTGGCCCTGAGTTCGTACACTCAGTTATGGTGCTTCTTCAACAGCTGTTGGAGGAGAAACCCATCCCAGAGAGACATTCCCTAATCCCCACGTTGCTCCTCTGGCCAGAGACCAGCTCACAGGTATCTGCAGGCTTTAGAACACTTTTTCTGCTATGGCATAACACTTTTCCCCTTTGCAGAACACTATTGACTCCACTCATCAGTTCTTCTTCCAGTCATCTGGGCTCGTTCTTCTACAGGCCTGCACTTCCAAAATGGATTTGTTACACGTAAGGACTACATGGCTGGATTTTAATCCCGCAGGCGAGGAATGCTGCCAATGTTATTCACAGAGGATGGGACTTACAGAGAAGGAAGCAGAGAAGTAAATACAATCTCAACAAAAGTTGCAAAACATTGTAATGTAAAACATCCTTAATTCCTAAGGATTCTTCTGAAAATTCCCAGTTTTGCACTATGTTATAACGATTTGTAACACACAGAAATACTGTAACAGGATTTGCAAACATTCTTCCAAGCGTTTCCTCATCTTCTGCTACTTTTGTCCCACTGTACCATCAGGACAACTCTGCAGTGTCAGGCCTGCCCAAGCACTGACCACAGGATCAAACCCTGCACTGATCACCTGTGATTGCTGCAGTACAGCCTAAAAGATTCAATGTAAGATTTTTCTTTGGAGAAGGTACAACAAGTTGTGTCTCCACAGCCACCAAACAGTTAAATACCTTTAAACCTCATCTGTGCTCAACAAGGTCTAACAAAAAATCCCCTTTCCTCTGACTCCTTCCTGGCCTGAATCAGCAGAGGGAACAGTAATCAATTAAAAAAAATACACTGTGTATTAGTCACAAGAAGTAGAGCACACGCCTGATGTGAATTTAGACCAGTCACTGCTATTACTGGCAAGGTTGTGAGTGAGACACTCCAAACAGAGACGCTCACCTGACACTTGGGAACTTGCTGAATAATAAGAGATAGTAGAGAGAGTTCAAACAAGTCCCGAGCCTTAATCCATCCAGTTACCTACTGGGTAACCAGAGGAGGAGACAGCAGCCAGTGAAAGAACTCCTGAATGCAAGTCCCAGTTCTCCTGACACTCTCTCCAGCTCTTTGAAACGGAAAACTGAAGGATGACCAACTACAGCCTTCCAGGCACTGAAGCTGACAGCTGTCTAGGAGCCTGTCTTCTCCAGCCTCACCCCAACCTCAGGCTCTCCCAGGGGTTCAGACAAGCCCCTTTCAAAGCAAACCTCCCCCCTTCAACAGAAAATGCCAATAGCACGTGGCAAAGGACCTGCTCCCCACACCACGATCTGCTCCTTCACCCTCGCTGTTATTAAAACCAGATTGTTTCACCACCACATTTGCTGGTGTCTGCAACAGGAAGAGGATAAAATCTGCAACCCCAGAACAATTTGCTTTTTGGAGACTCACCCTTTAAACAGCCAGCACATGACCCTCCCTCCGCACTGGGGAAACAGGCACAGAAATGCTGCTTTGATTGAAGAGTTTTAATGATACTTAATTCAGTGCAGGCTCACAACACATTAAGGACAAATCTTACATCACTATAGCAGTATGCTGCTAAATGACACAAAGTGTCAAGAAAAATCAAAGGAAAGCCATAATTTATGTCTCCAAACCTGGTTATTCCACGGGTTACAGGCACACAGGTCTCTACAACCACAAACTGTATAAAAGACAATGACATGGCTGCTATCCAAATGACCAATATGCACTTACAGCTAGAAATAAAGAGTGAATTTTCACATTCATGCACCTAGGAGAAGGAAGGTCTAGTGAATTTATACTACACCGAGACTAAAATACAAGAAAAATCACTATAGCCAGAATTTTGTCATCTCCATTAACTAAACACATGGAGGTAAAGGGAACTTTTTCCCCCCAAGGACTAGTTGGCTTTTTTTTTTTTAATTGACTCAATTAGTAGAATCGGCAAGTTCAAAAATTTCAGTCTTCTTTTCCTCCTCAAAAGAAGAGAGTCCATTAAATGCGTGTGTGCTCCTGATTCAGGAAAGCACCTCAACGCAGACATAACTGAAAGCAAACCCTGAGCTCTCCTGAAGCAGGGGCTGTGAGTTCAGCTCTGATCTCATCTAGGCTGTGATGGCTGAGATGAATCTGGCCGTAAATTAACAGGAAATGAAGGCTTGTACAAACGAACTTGGAGAATCTATAAATCACCTGACAATCTCTGCACAGGGCAGTTAAGTCTGCAAGGGACTGAGAGCACAGAGTGAATTTGGACATGAAGTGCTCTTCAGAAGCCAATGTTATTTTTTTGGAGTATTAATATTTCTGTGCTTCGGTTGCTCAACATATATCCAATCTGCCCGCCTGCCAGATCTCCCAGCCCATCCCAGAAGACAGACTTCAAGAAAGGAAGAAAAGGACAGGAAAGAAATTTTGTTTGAGCCATGTTAGCAGTTTCCAGGTGACTTCTGTCTGTTTGCCTCTTGCTTTCATGTGCTGCAGCTGGCAGATGAGATGGATGCGCTATTTTACACAGGAAAAAAACAGGCTCCTTTCTCTCCCTCTCCCTGTCTCCTTCAAACATGGGCTGACTCCAAATGTAACTCTCAGCTCCAAACACCATTTCGGGCCAGTCCCAGTCCCAGCTGGGGAATGTCAGACAGTTCGCTGCAAAGCGCTGCACCCTCTCAAAGCGCTGCACTTCAAACAAAGCCAGTCCGGCTGACTTTTCCTATACACAGCATGTGATATGAAGACAACATTGCCCAAACCTTTTACTAGCTTGATTACAATTTATTTTTCATTCTTTTGGTAAGAGCCCAAATGTGATTTAACCCTTCCTGTTATTACTTGGATCCCTTCAGCTCTCCTGCCTTTGTTCCCCAGCTCATCACAAGGGTGTTTTACAGAAAAAAAAAAAGACCAATGATGTTAAGACTTTGCCTCTTCTCTTTATCACTGACTGGAAAAGGGTTGGATTTTTCCCAGCTAGCTCCTTAGTTTACACTTGGTTGGCTTCAAAGGTGACAGATCAGATTTTAGTACCAACTGCCGAAACCAGGCAGTAAAGCACAAATAATTGGTGCTTGCACAACCAATTTGCCTCCAGGTGTCTTTTCCTCTCCTCACTCCTTAGGTATCACAGTCTGGAAACAGCTTTCCCTGCCTCACTTCAGCCAGTGTTACCTCAAGAGTATACGATGACAGGGCTTCAATGTGAGATTGTGCAACTAGAGCCTGAAGCAGCAGCCAAGTCCCTTAGTTTCTATTCCCAGCTCTGGCACCAACTCATCTGCCTTGGGCAAGTTCCTTAACCCTTCTCTACCTCTGGTTTACCAATGTGTGTAGAAAAGGACTACCCTGCTAGGATAGTGCAGAACTGCCTTTGCTGAGGACTAAAAATCTGGAGTCAAAGCAGCTCAAGTGAAAAAGAAATCATAAGAACTAAGGAGCCCATTTGGGTTTGTTTATGAACATGGGAGGATCTGGCAAAAACAGTTGAACTTCCCAGTTCATACCCAACGTCATTCCCACAGACACCTCATCTGCAGCTAACACAGGCCTTGAACTGTAACATCTCTGTGCCAAGCTAAGGTAACTCAGAGTCAGCAATGGAATACTTTCAAACTCCGAGGTCTGCACATATGGCACTTATTCAGGAACTGCTTCACCTTCAGGTCAGCCCCAGCTGCAGAGGGAGAGAGGGGAGCTGGGGGGAGTCACCCTCCAGCCCCTCAGCTTAACCTGCCTGCACCCAGGCTCAACACCCCAAGGGAGTGCAGCCTCTTAGCCCCTGCACTATGCACTGCTCCTGAAGAGATTCCTCAGGATTACAGGAGTTCTGGATTAACCTCAGCCAGCTCTCTGCTGAAACAAGCCCACAAGGACATCAGGAAGCAAACGCGCACTTTCTGCTCCTCCGGGCCGAGAAAAACAAGCAGAACGTTCCAGCGAAGCCAAAGCGTGTTTGGGTTTGCTCTGAGTCGGGAGGGAGCCGAAGGGGGTGGCAGGAAAATAACAGGTGGCGCAAAGTCAAAGGCTTGCAGCACTTCCAGGAATCTCAGCTTGTATTTTAGAGGTAAAGTTACACTTTAATCCCAGTGGGTTTCCTCATTCGAAGCATCTTTGTGAATATTTATTTGATAAACAGGCTGTGAAACATTTTCCACTAGATCTAATAGGAGAAGAATTCACCGTCTTTGCAGCAAGCCCGTCCTTTGGAGAACACTAATCAGTGTGGCTTCAAACTCCTTGTGTGAAATCGATGCAGAGAGCAGTGCAAACACGCTCCTTTGTTGTTTGAGCCACGTTCACCCCCCCCAGCAGCTGCCCATTCGAAAGCTGACAGCGGAAAATCAAAGCAAGCAGACCCTCAGATGGGAATGTACGAGGGGCTTTGCTTGGACTGATTTAAATACAAAACCTCCTGGTTTAGACAAAGCTTGAATTAAGGCTGCCTGAGCTGCTGGGAGTCTGCAGCGCAAATGTTCGGTGTGAAGCGAGGCTAAAGGCAGGGAGAAGTCACATGCTTGGCCTTCATGTAGTGTCAGCTTACAGATCTGGCTGGGCTCACCAGAAAAAAGGGAAAGCTGTAATACAGCAAACCTATTAAACCAGCACCTGTTACAGGCATCAAAAATAAAACCGAGCTTCAAACGAGAGGCTCCGCACCTCGGGGAGGGTTCTATTAATATGGCAGCACATTTTCAAAATTAGCAAAAGAGGGAGATCACAAGGCTAGAAAGAGAGAAATTTTAAAAGTTCAGGGTTTGGTTAATATTTCCATACTGGGAAAGTATTGAAGAAACTAAATACTGGAGCCAGAAAGAGTAACAGGGTTTGCTACTGAAGGACAGGCAAGGTTTGGCTTCAGAGACTGGCCACGCAAAGAGAGGGAGATCAAAGGCATTGTAACAGGAGAGGGATCACATACAGTGTGACTAAACGATGCCTGGAACTACCTGCCTTCCTTCTCCTCAACTCTGAGAAGATGGAGATCCAGTACTGATCCTCCTAGAAGCACTGAAGAATATCGAAGACATGTGCTCCTAAACTTTCACCTGAGATGATCTGCCATCTGATTTTAGCCCATCACTTGCTACACAAAATAACAAATAAAATCATGGTTTCAGAGTAGAGTGCAATGCCTAAGCAATTTTCCTGTCAAGCAAGAAGGGTAGCTGATAATCTGGAAGATGAATTTGTGTTTACAACAGCAACAACACAAATGTTTCCGCTTTTCCTGGTCACCTTATTACAGTCAATAACTGAAGATCTCCTAAGTGTTTTTTATTAATGTATGGAAGGAAGGAAAGAGAAGAACATCATCAGGACCTGCACATCAGCTTTGGTTCAAAGTTCAAACATTTTATCAATGCAGAGTTTCTTATGTGATTTTAACATCTACTCATAGATTTTTTTTTTTTTTTTTTACTTCCAAAGACTTCTGTTTCAGAAAGATTTTTCTTCTGTACTGTAACTTGTGAAATATCTACCTTGCAGTGGTGAAGCTCT